ATGACACTAAACCGCACTCTGTAGGAAGCATCCATTCTAATCGTTCCCCTTCTCTGCCAGCATGTTCAAAAACAACCTTCCAAAAAAGTAATTCAAGGGCATGAGTCCTCACAGTCTATTACACAAGTAATCCAGCGCATGACGCCAGTGCAACAATAAGACAATAGAAGACAAGCTGTTATATGGGCAGAAATGTCACTTTTAACTTCATAAGACCGCAAGACATAAACAGACAGAACCCAACAACAACAGCATAAAAACACAAACCTACTCCATCTTTCACTGACAGCTTTGTGGACAACGAAGAATGCATCATCACTTCAGTATCATCACCTGAGCTAATAATTTCCAGAAAAACTAGAACCCAAGGCACAGACGTACATCAGCAAACACTTTTACTACCATTTTGTCTTTTCCCTGCACAACATTAGCTCAACTAAAAAACAAAAACAAAACAAAGATCCACAGTTCTTCCAGAAGCTAATCAATAGTCCACAGAGGAGTCATCAGGGGCTGTGCTCAGCAGTTTAGCCACTGTTGCACATTAAGATTCTCTGGACTCAGCTGCAGGAAGCGATGCACTTTATAGGAGAGTCAAGTAACACAGATAAACAATCTGTTGTAAAATCAGTTGTAACATACAGTATTAGGAGACGAAAGGGTTCCTTTTTGCTACTGAGCAAAAGTCTTGAGTCATTTCTCATTTTTACACTTTGTTTCTAGAGGACATTGTAGAATATCTTGCTAAAATCAGCAGTTTTGACCAAGTCTCCAAGATTTCAGAAGGTTGTTCAACAAGTTGTTCTTCAAGAAATTGGATATGTAGATTCAGCTGTCAGCTGTAGTCTGTGAAATTCAGATCTCTTCTTTTTCAATGGAATCACTCCACGCAACTGACGAAAGAGGAGTTTCTATCTGTCTATCTGAGACAGGCGACACTTGATCCTCTGTATCTCTACTGTGGCTACCAGTTACTTTGAGGGTTCACTTTAAAATCTTGGTCTTAACCTTTAGAACTATGGATTGTCAAGCTTCTCATTTCTCTTGAGCCTGCAGAAGTCTGGTACGTCAACTCCAATCCTGAGGTGTGCTAACCTGAGGCTGTTGTTAATTCCTCAGATCTGTTTTAAACCCCACTGATATTGTTACTTTCAGCAGCCATACTCCTACTGTGGAACACACATTCCTTGTTTTTATGTTTCATTGTAAATTTTAATTGCTTGAGTCTTTTAAAATGCAGATTAAATCTGCATTTCACAATAAGGCTGTGTAATCTTGAAAACATGTAAATCAGTGTAAATATTATTATTACTATACAATATTTTTGGCTATTATATTTAAAGTCTTATGACTTCCCACTTTACACACCAATTAATTATCTTAAATAGCATTCTCAGCAGTATAGACCCACTTACTAAGTAAGAATATTATTGAAAAGTTCATTTATTTCCATAATTCAGTTCCCAAAGTAAAATATTACATACAGACTGATTTTTCTGGTAATATTTGACTAAAACAAAACTTTTTGATATGCATTGGAATTAATATTTTAATTTATTGAACATGACACACCTTACAAAGAGCATAGTTTCCGAGATATTAGAGGTGACAGAACTTGTTAGAAATGTTATAATGAGAGATCATTCTAGCTCTGATTCTATTTGTCATTTTTATAAATGACTACAAAATGTTAACTTTCTTCTGTATGCTGACGACGCTATCTTTTACACTATTGCAGCCTCAATTAATCAGGCTCTTGTGGAGCTTCAGACTGTTTTCCATCACCCTCATATTTTCCTCAACAATCTAAGTTGCTCATAAGTCAGAAGAAGATCAAGGATTATCTCAAAAGCTCTTTCTCAAAATTTAATGCACAAAATACATTTGGACATCAGACAGAAAAAAAATAAGTGTAAAAAAGTGTAAGCTTAAAAAAGATTTTTGGGCATACGGATTGATGACAAACAGTCTTTTTCACCTTATGCAGAACATCTGTTGAAAAAGCTCAAAGCTGACCTTGGCTTTTAATATCGACACAAATCCTGTCTGAAGCCAGACGTAAGGAAAAAAGCTTGCGCAAACGACTTTCTGAATGCGCTGGACTATGGAGACATTATCTTCATGAAAGCAGCTTTCTCAATTCTCCACTGTCTGGATACAATATTTCAAAGTGCTTTACATTTTACCATGAATGCCGCCTGCAGAACTCAGCACTGTGAACGTCATGCCCTTTTTTCATGGCCTTCACTAAAACAAAGGAGACAAAGAAACTGACATGTAACATTTACTGTGGTGTCTTGGGCAAGTTACCCCTATATTTGCTTTGTCTAATCATGTCTGCAGTTAGGAGTTGACACAATACCCACCCAGTTTCTCTTCAAAGTGGACCAAATAAGGTCAGGAGTTTCTCTTACACTGCACCTTAGTGCTGGAAAGATTTGCTAAACTCAAGAAAACTTCAACAATCTATTCAAATGCACAAATTTTAAACTGTTTTTAAAACAGTTTAAAATAAATAGTAAAATTATAATTCAATCTGGAGAGACTGGGATAGAGAAAGAAAGCGATTAGAAAAGTTTATTGAATTAAGTCTTTGGCGCTCGAGCCCCGGCTAAGGATATCGAGCTGTGATTGCGATGAGCTCGGATGAGCATTCCCGATGCTGATAGGAAGGTCATCTCCCGGTACCCGATACTGGTGGTGGAGGTCGGCGAATGAAGGATGCCTGGAGAGGCAGGACAGTGGAGGTGGGTTGAGCGCAGCAGTGAAGCGGAAGATGCCTTGGATGGATGTCCTTATGAACTAGGGCTTGGTCGGTGATTGGCCATGACATGTCTTGGTTCAGCGATGATAGGTGGTCAGTGATTAGTGGGATGCACCGATTGGATGATGCAGGTGGGGCTAAAGAGTCTTCCAGTTTGAATTTATGCCAAGGCTTCATTTCTTAAATCCCTTTTTAATTATTTTACGAGTTCATAATCATAAAATAATTCAGTAAAAACTTCCCCTAAGTATTTATTTTGTTTACACTTGAGTGAGTTTATGGGGTTTTAATTGTCTATACCTTTTAAGTATTGCTTGAAATACTGTTTACAAATTTGTGCCTTTTAGCAAGGTCTTCCTGAAAAACAGAGACTTAATCTCAGATGAATTCCTGGTAAAATAAAGGTAAAATGAAATGCTACATAATCTTCTGGTGGAGATTGTTTTTTTATTTAGTACTGCTCTTATATTAAGTATATTCCTCAATTTTATGCAGGAACTCTAAAATGTATTGCAATGGTCAGGTATGAGAACTGGGGAGAAATTGAAAAAATAATTCAGCAAACGTTACAAAAAACAATAACCTTCAGAAAGCCAAATGAACTATTGATCAAACACTAAAATGTTACAAGAAGCTCTGACTCCTTAGAGGCCAAGCACAAAGAAATATCACACTGATTCTCATTCCTGATGTTTGTTTTTAGTGGCTGAGATGGTCAAGCTCATCTAGAGCAGTAAGTACAACGTATACAAAAAAAAAAGGAAAAAAAAGTGGGTTAATTGTAACTGCCATCAAGCATTTTCCCACAGCATCTCAACATTATATTTTTCTGATATTTTGCAGCCCTAGTTTGAACCAAGTAATAACAACCCCTCTCTCTCCTGCATACATATCAGGGCACATTTCTTTCCAGACGAGAGTGCTGCCATGTTGTCCTCCCTTTCTGATAATACTGGGTTCTGGTTTGTGTTTTTGCCTACATATCAAGGAGGAATCCTTATACTTTTACATCTTTTCATTTAATATTTTTCTCCTTTCCCCTTCTCTATTTCCTCAATCTGAGAAAATAAACATTTTCCTCAGTTGGTGGGGTACATTTTGTAATACAGGCCTTTACATAACACCTATTTGACTTGACACAGCCATTACAGAAACTGCATGTTAGTGGAAATGTGACTTTGCCTCCAATCTTTTTTGTGAAATTTATTTTTCCTAACATGCTTCACCACACAGTCCATAAAATATGAGAAATGAAGTAGAAATAAAGTTAAAAGCGGAAAAACTTTTTGCATAAAATCAGATGGCACAGCCACATAGGTTAATCTCACTTTATTCCTTATAAAGTTTACTCTGTCTGACTAACACTGTTTAACCATATAGCATCATCAATAAATGATGCTGCTCTCTGCACTTCATGTTGCTGTTTTATGTACGTAGCTCAGGTTCTAGACTTATAGTGAAATTAGGCTAATTCACTGTTTTCAATGTGTTCTTTTGTAACTGCATGAACCTGTGAATTTAATTGATTTGTACCCAGTCAATAGTATAAAATTCTTGAAATGTGTTACTATAAGCCATATTTAATTGAGTTATGGCTGCCCATGAACAGAACACCAGTTTCTAAAAGCATACATCGGTCAGAGTTAGAAATTTAGATGGCCACTAAAAGCCATGGGGTACCACTTCCTGGGCTGCTTTTGGTCAGTTTAGATTAACTTCACTGTTAAAAATGTAGATTGGTGCAGTTTGCTTCAATGGAAAAAGATATACTGGCACTAAGCTCAAGTCTATTTAAGATTTATAAGGAGATAGAACAAAAATAAAAGTCAAGGTTTCACAAGGCTTTTTTGGGATAAGTTGAATATATAATTGCCCAAAATTAACCATTTAAAGGGTCCAGTTCATATATTTCAAGCTTTAGCTAGAAAACTTTATATCAAGCTTTAGCTAGAAAACAAGTAACAGATGGATATAAATCAAACTGGACAGTTTGAAAAATATAACTAGATGTTTTTTCCTATGACGTTATCTGCTGTCAGATTTATGTATCCATAAAATAATGACAGGCTTAATGACAGAAGTTTTTCTGATCAGAATGAGAAAACAGAGTGATTTAGTGAATACAAGCATGGGCTTCTTCCACAAAAGCCCTCCCAGTCTGTGCGTCACCGAATCTACCTTCTGGCAGTAAACCCAACCTTGTTGCAATAGGGGTTAGAGGCCGGCACTTACTTACCCCACACTTGCTGAGAGCGATGTACCACCACCTCTCCCTCACTGAGCGGAAACTGCGACCACCCACGCAGCTCAGAACCTCCTCGTTGGTGTCGTCCTCCACCTGAGAGGGGTAAAGAAATGCAGAGCGTCTGGTGATGCAAAGAGGACGTTGTTATTCCAAACAAGGCAGCACATTTTTACCTCAGAGACATGCCGACTTGTCACACTAGAACAGCAGCCGGAGATGTCGAGATACAAGCACATTTCACACCTTGATATAGCCTGAAATGTTGCGACAAGATCTACTAACCGAATCACCCTGACAGTCACACCTCTTCATGTAATAAACAACAAGGTTGTTGAAAAACAGACAAAACAAAGACAATGTGAGGCAGAAAGATCTTTTGGGATCAACAACGGAAATATGTAAATTAGTGGAATGTTATAAAAACACATTATGGACCATTAACTCTCACCTCCTCTCCATCTTCATCTCAGTTTATTGTTTTTCTATTTTACATATTTTAATGCTGTTTTGCATTCTAAAGTGACATAAGATAGAAAATGTGTTTAACTATCTCATAATAAAAGAGAAGTGTAAGAGGTTAACTTACTGCACAAAACAGAGAACGACTCCTGGATAATAGCCGTGTTTTTTCTGTTCTTAAACATTTCATTTCCACTGTATTAATGCAGATGTAGAGTATTTGTATGTTCTTACCGCACATCCTGACCAGGTGTAGCGGGTAGTGAGATTGATGACCTGGTTGTTTTCAGGCCTCAGCACTGCTTCCTTCTCATAGCAGTTCTGTTATCAGTGCACACAAAAAAACAAAACACATTTAAAGCTACTAAAACAAAGAGACTATAAATACATTTAGGCATATGCGGAGAGTAAGCAGATTTTTTGTCCTGACAGGTAGAAATGCTATTACATTTGTGAGTATGTTTTCAGGTAACATTCAGATGAATCTTTGTTTGAAGATGTGAATCCAGCATTTTTTTTTCTTCATATTAAGTTATATTTTATTATTATCGGAGAGAAGACTGTTTTTCACTGAACTGCAATGTGTAGGTAAATAGAGGTGTTTGTATTTAAAGAGTAATAATTCAAGTACAGTCCAATCAAAAAGTTACATATACTTATATGCATGACTCAAAATGATACATGCATGTAATGTATACATATACCCTCAATACTATTTGGTTAAATTTCCTTAAAAAGTGGCAGAGACTGCACACAATTCTTGTAGCCATCAACGAGTTCCTGGGGTAAATCTGCCAGGTTCCCGGTTAAATATCTGCTTTGTCCTGGCTAAGCAGATATTTAACCACTCTGCTTTTAAGAGAGCCATTATTTACATAGTCCATACATTTTCAATTGGTTGAGGTCAGGGTATTTCAGATGCATCATTCAGTGTCCTTCATCGATTCCAAAACCAATCTTGAAATGTGTTTTAGATCATTTTCCTGGTAGAACACTTAATTGTGTGCAAGTTTCAACTGCAGTCTTACATTTGCTATATTCCACCCATTTGTACAATCCAGCAGTACCACTAGGAATGGAATAGACCCTGAGCTTGATGTGTCAAACACTGTACCTGACACTGGGTACTGTTTACTTTGTTCTAAAAGCTTCAAATTGACATCTCCCAACATTTCACTTGTCATCATGTCCACATAGCACAAACCTTATCTTGTTTAAGCATAAAACTTTCACAGACAGTATTTGACTTGTCTATTTGGCCAGCTACAAATTGTAGTTTTTTTTTTTAATTAGTTCTGTCTTAGTTCTCATTAGAAATCATTAAGTTGGATGGTGCATTTTTAGACCACGAAGAAAAAATTATAGTTTAAATAAATCAATAATGGCAAAGTATTTCTAAGACAGCAATGTGGATAAGGACTGTATGCAAACCTTTAAGCAGAAATGCATTAACCTATTAATATAGAAATAGATAATACATACTTTTTTATTATTGGGATTTGTTTACTCAATCCAAAACACACTTTTTTATGCACATATCAATCTCTGAGTGACAGATTTGTTCATGTCTGAGATCTTTAGATGCAAACTGCTCTGTAGAGTGTAAAAATGTTTGGTCCTGCAAATGTGTGACACAGAGCTGAGAAGAGATGTGATCTCTGTAAGTGACGAGATATATCTAATACACTGTCAGATCTGTGTCAGAAGACATAAGGCATAAGATGGCAGGACCAATTGAATGACTTCAGTACATGAGCTCAAAAAGGAAAGCAATGCATGTCCATGTCTTTCATTTTCAACATTCTTAACATGTTGAATCATTTCAGCAGAGATTTTTCTCTGAAATTCAAGTTGCTTTTTACATGAACATAAAATGAAGAACAAGTTTAGCAAGACCAGTTAGAAATGCCTGGATATTGAGAAATAGCTAACTCATGAGTCACTGGGTGTGAAAGTCATTTAACATCAATTTAAAAAAAAACAGACTGTACCACATCTAAGGCAGCTCCATAATGGAAGGATAAAACATTTAAAATCAATCCTCTTTGTCCTTCTGAAGGCAAGGATCGAAACATCAGATCTTAAATAGGCGTTAAATTAAACTTCTACAGCAAAGGCATAAAATTGTTTCTAATTTTTGTGTTGCAGTCATTTAGCATTTTAATAAAAATAATAATCACAAACTCTGGTACTGAGTTTGAGCTTCAAAGTCATTGTATTGCATTCTTTCATATAAAGCATCCAGCTAGAGCTGGAAAAGATAAGGTTAATTGATGGTAGCTTTAGGGAATGAATACTTACTACAATTGTAAGAGAATGCAAGTGAAACTAATGAGTTCTCCCCCTGTAGTTTATGGGGAAGCTCTTAAAAATAGGGCAAGAAACTCAGTCTGGGTGAAACTAAGAATGTTTTTTTTCCTAGAAAGTAACCATTTTATGTGTTCTGGACATCTGTTCAGTAACCATGGGAGAAGGCCTTGAGGCAAACTCAGGAAATGCAGGAGAGATTTCATTTTATCTGGTTTGAAAACAACTCTGTCTTCCTGGAGCTGGCTGAATGTGGAGGCAACAGAAAGATCTATGGATCTCTGTGTAAATTGTAGACTCATTCACTCCAACCAACTAATGCACTTTTCCTTTTTAACATCTTGACCAGCAAACGTCTGGCCCAGACTCAAAAGAAAAGAAAAAAGTAGACCTTTGGATTTTTTCTTATTGCTGTTTTTTTGCCAGAAAGATATCATGTGTAATGTATAAGGACGGAAATCATTATGAATTTCTTTATTTTCTGACGTAGGAACAAGACTGTCATGTTTTGATCAATAGTCCTTATTATGTTGACTTTGTCAGCCTTTTTACTGGCTATTTGTACAGTTATTACAGCAGACCAAGGCTGCAAATTAAATAAACAAGATGATTAAAGTGGACAAGCTGATTAACAGCATGTCTTTCTTATTAAAAAGGAACCAATCATAGAAAGACCAGACAGGATGTGAGAGCTGCATCATCCTTAAGTAGAGCATCTTCTATTCACCAATTTTCACCTAAGAAGTCTTTGAAAATTACTATGAAGCTAGAAACCTATAAACATTTTATACAGTTGCTTTTAATCTCACACTTGTATTTGGTTGGTTTGGTGTTTCACACAAAACTTTTTCAGGTATGAAAAGGAGCTAGGCATTGAGCTAACCATTCATTCCTCTATACGAGAATGATTTAAAGTAATTTTCTGAAATACACTTGTAGATGTTTTATTAGATGTGTTTAAATGACTCCAAAATGTGATACATAAATTGGGAGAATATCACTGATTGATAGTTTAGTTTGATTAGGGACCATAATAACTTATCATTGCTTATGATTCAGTTGACTGTCTCAAATGTGAATCAGCACCTCAATTAATGGAACTAAGTATTAACATATTCTCAAAATAACAATATTTTGTTATTTTGATGATTATTTACCTGTAGAAAAATAATTACCTATCAAGAGAAGTAAAATGAAATGCATCTTTCAATATATGGGCACAAAATGGAGGCAGATTAAATTGGATTGCCAATGGTTTATGTTAAGCTGGAGATACACTGTGTCATCTTTGGTGTTTTTAGTTAAATAAATGGGAATAAATTGTATCTGTAAGATAACCCAAATAGGTCTGGTACTATTTGGTTTTAAAAAAAAAAAAAAAAAAAAAAACATTTACTTTAGCCAAAATGGAACAAGACTGCTTGTTATCAAACTACAAGTAAACAGGTAATGAAGTCAACATTTTAAAACTGAAGCTTAGGGAAAAATTCTTCGACTGGGAAGAGAAACTGACATCATTCTATTTTCATCACATCACAGATAACTTCTGGTAGAAACTGACAGCTAGATAGAAAGTTTGCAGACATTAGGTCCAAATTGAATTGCTAAAATTAATGTCACTTCATCTTCAGTGCAAACAGACATGGATAAGCACCACTTCTCTTTTATCCTATCTTAATCTAGCAGGGAGTCAGCGCCTCACCTTCTCTGGCTTCTTGTACACAGCTGGCCACTGAGAGCTGTCATCAAAGTAGAGCAGAATGTTCTGACAACAGCGTGACTGCACAGAAGGGAGACAGAAACAGAAAGAGAGATCACACTGGGGTGGTACATCGATCAGAGATACCACAGAGGTGATTTGACGTGATAACAGTACAGAACTGGCTCAAGCTAAAACATGTAAAGCACTGCAAGAAGAGGCTGGTATATTGGTTAACTCATTAAAAGGAAATAAGGAAACAAGGAGAGACAAAAAGAGATGCAGACTGGTAATAAGGGAGAAGGAGGAGTAGACCAGGGTGTGAAGTCAACACAACAACATTGTGATATTGGTTAATATAATGAAGTGAGATGTGAGATAGAGTAAAAGAAAAATGAGAAAGCTAATTGGGTCGAAGATACTTTGGAAAGAGAAACTGAGGCAAAGAAGTAAGACAAATACTTTCATTTTTGCTAGGCGGTGTGGTAAGCCTAGTTAATGTGGAAAAACACTTTGACATAGCAACAAAATTTAAAAGAAGAAACTCAAATAGGAATAAAAACTAGTGTTCTCTATAAAACTATAAATTAGATAAATCAGACTGAATATTAAACAAAGGCAAAATAAAAAGAAATTTTCATTTTGAATGTCAGAGCAGCAACACATTTTGGTAGAAATATAGTTAGAAGCACATTTTGCAACTGTGTTGCATCACCTCATTTTTTTATGTCACTGTGAGCTTTTGACAACTAAGAAAAGTAATGGTTATAACTTTAAAAGCAAGTTACATGATGTCAGTTATTCAGCAGTTAGAAGCATTGTTGCTTTTTTAAATATTTAGTCTGTGACAAGACTGCAGAGACTGAATTGATTTGTTGATGTATTGTGAAAAAAATGTTGAAAATAGTATTGGAGCATTTGACATATTTTCAAAAAGAGCCAAGGATTTTAGTCTCAATCTTTGGTTACAATATTATCGCCCTTGGACAACTTCTAGGAAAACATTCTGTTTTTCTTTAAGCAGATATTTTACTCAGACAAAACCGAGCATGAGCAGTCCTACCTTTGGGTAGCGAAATTTAAAATCCAGCCGACCAAACTCTGTGAGAAAGCAGAAACGTGTGAGGAACACCCAGTCCTGCAGAGAGAGGAAAACAATGATCAGACAAATTAACAATTAAAATCAGTCAAATAAAAAAGCTCCACATTAAATGCTAATGTTGATATAAAAAAGATATAAAAATGGATGCACCTCTACTTAGAATGCTCTGTGTCTTCAGCTCCTGATGCCTGGAATGTGTTTAAAAGTAATTGTTGAGGAGTATTCTGCTTGTACAACTTATAGCAGCCACATTAGTTAATGAGGTTGTTTACGGATCTGTTTAAGAAACATTTAGAAAGGCTAGCATTTACATGCTAACATCAATGAACATGGTCTCATGTTAATCATGTCATTCCTCAGTTTCTCTTAGTAGTAGGTAAGCATTAAAGCATGTTGCAGCTCAGTTGATGGAGCTTGAAATACGATTTAAGCAAATTCTTACATTTATTAAGTAGATTTCCACTTCATTAGATAAGACATTAGCATGCCTTAAAAATATAAAACATTTTCCTTAATATAAAGTCAATTTTGTTTTGTCAAATGCTTTGTAGTAGCAAAAGTCCTTGATAACTGATTTTCAAACCAAGCTAATTATTATTTATTGTAGATAATGCTATGAAATAATAAGAATAGGCTTTGAACACAAATAATGTGTGACAGAATTCATACTTTAAAAAGTGAAATGAAAAAAGGCAATAGCTCAGTAATGACTCCTATTTTCTTAGCCCTACTTTTAGCTCTGAAGTAATTCCGGTGATTATATCTTAATGTTATTGTGGATATTTGTTAGGATAAAAAGATTGAATGAATCAGTCCAGGTAAAAACAGATAACATCTGCCATCTATTTGACGACTGATCATATAAATTAAAAATAACCTCAAAGACAATAAATCTGAACCAAACTCTTGATAATAATAACATAAAAGAATTTAAATAAAAACAAATGAATTATGTAAATCATGTGTCAGATTTTCATTAAATTTTATTTTAGTCAGAAAACAGGATGTACACACTAAAAAGTACAAAAAAAAGTACAAAAGAGGGAAGAGGAAGCTCAGGAAAGAAAGACAATAAAACTTGGTATACTTGTGAGGGAGCAATAAAGAAAAAGATTGAGAAAGGGACATATAACAGCAGGGAAGAGCTTCAGGATTGTTAAAAAAAAAGGTGCTAAATATAAAAGGGGGTATAGAGGTAGAGGCAAGAGGTTAAACATTTAGAGAGGGTAAACAAAAAAGGTATTAAGGGACTGCTGTGCATGCTAATGAAAAAAATACCTGCATGTCCCTAATATTATTCAGCCATCGACTTGGCAGCATGAGACCAGATAATAGTGCTGATGGTGTGTTTCACTTAGATTACATAAGGCACTGCCTGCAGCAGTGTTGGCATGGCAGATCAGTCACTAGTGGCCTTATATATATGAACTTTCTGTAGATAAGTGCATACTGTGCAGCGTATGGATCAAACACCTTTCCATCTGGTTGACTGTGGAGCCCAGCTGAGGTGGGAAGAGTAAATGAGGGGTAAACCAGAAGAAGACGTCTCATCTTTCCGTCCTGAAAATGTTATGCAAATAACAGCTTTCTCATATGAACTAATAATGGAGAGGTTTTGAGCCCTCTATGTGCAAGCCACATAACACAATTATCAGTATCGGGAATGTTTGTCATCAAAAGAGTGGGAGAGAAAAATGTATAAATTTTGCATTAAATAATATTAGAACAAGTCCCCTAATGTTCACATTTTCCATTTTATTCATTCATTTTTTTATCTTAAAACAACTTTGATAGAAAGAAAAACATAGACATCGACTGAAGTATCTGAAAGTGATTTTCATGTATTTTGTTTTTTTTTTAATCAGTTGAAATTTTTATCATTTTAAGGACGAGGTCAATTTTGTTCTGTGATATCCAAACAATGTTCAGACAAAACCATGTTTCTTAAAAATGTAAGCATCTTTCAGAAAAAGAATACATGTAAGCCAGGACTTGGAAACCTTGAAATACCTCTGTGCTTTTTCTGAAATAACCAATGCAGTCAGAGGGCATGAAGTCACTCACTGCTGTTGAGCCATTCGTCCGTCAATCGAGACAGTATCAGCAAGCTTATCTTAGGGTTAACCATCTTTTTGATAAAAACACCTGATCCAGAGATCAAATGTTGGATTCAAGTCAAAAACACAGCAGGAGCACCGTGGTGCAGTGTTAACATACTTTCCTGTTTGCAATGACACAGGGGACAGGTTGCAAAAAAGATTACAGACATACAGGAGTTTGGCTAAAGGTAGTTTCTTCTGCTGTTTTGATACTTGAAATAAATAATAAAATCAATGAAGCATACCAGGATTTAACGTCTTAGAAGAGGATATCTGACTACTTGTACCAAGCTGTCTAATCAACCATATTAACCAGCATCAACACCATGTGTACTGGATAATCTTTCAGATGGGAGAGAGAGCTTGTCGAAGAGATTTCCAGATCCCTACATTTTCCAGGCGAGAAAGACTGCAGTCTGCTGTGAGAGCTGTATTTTAAGCATGTGAACAAAACTGATTAGATGAGATTGATTAACACTGCTGCACACTTCATCCATGACATTTCAATGGGAACAATGCTCTACAAAATAATTTCCACTTAACAAAAATTCAATTTTCACTTAAAAATTGCAGTCACAGATAAATTTAATAAAGGACATTGAAAGAAATCTATATTTAGTCACAGTGCAACATGGATGAGCTTTAATTACAAGCAGAGTTCTAGGCAGACCAATCTGCATGCACCGAAACAAACTAGAAATTTTCCAGAGCAAAAATAGACAGGTTTTCAGTGGGACTGACAGGTGTGAGATGGAGAGAGACAAGCTTGTCTCAACATCCAACTTACTCGTACGCTATGGAGCCAGTCTGTAGTGGATTCTGTTTCTCTCAAAGATCCTCCTTGATGAGAGATGGCAAAGTAGGGTGTGCTGCTAACTAAGACCATTTATCTCAGAGCAGTGACCTATGTAGAAATTTTCCAAGCTAACTGAGTGACTACTTATTCCTCTTCCTTGGTTAAAAAAATCTGAATGTTTTATTATTTTTGAAAGGTTGACACAAAAGTAAAAAGCTTTCTTGGATTCCATAGGTTTGGTTAAGACTGACCTAAAGCTGAAGTCACCAAAACCAGTTTCTGAATTTCTTTGTTAATCATCAGTAGTCCATAAACAAATGTCCTATTTACACTTCTAAGTGGACTTTACACCATGATTCCCAACATCAATGAATGCCATGTTTTGTATTCCTTGTGTAGTATGATGGGCATATTCCATGTGTTTTCCTGTTTTAATTGACCTGGATAGTTGAATTACCTTTACAGTTTCTCAAGTTATGTACAATCTGGTTATTGACATCGATACAAATCAAAGGAGCAAAATGGAGAACATGGAACATATGCAGAACATAGTGCACTGATGATTGCAAAACATTATCTGTATGAATGCACTGGTGACCGAAGACATAGACAGACGTTATGTCTCCAGGTTCTTAGTGACAGAGTGCTGAGAAAGCAGGGGCATCTTTGTTGGGAGATGTTAAATACAACCCACCTCTGAGCAAAGTTCCAATATGCAAAGGCATGCTGGTGACAGTGAGTGGAATATTTTCTGCAAATGATGTGTTCAAAAAGAGCAACAGGCACAAGATAGATGATACTGCCAGACCCAGAGGTGAGAAACTTATTTTGAATGGTTCATCCTGCCTAAGGAGGAGTCCTACAGAGCTTGATAAGGATGTAGAACCCTGGAAGAGGGGGCATTCAAATACAGGCAGGCAAAGTAGCATTCGACTCACGCAGGAAAAACTATGGTGCGAGAAGAGTTTAGTAATGCTAAGAAGCAGGATTTTCAGTTTGCTTCAAGGAGATTCTGGCAAAATGCCAGTCAGGGGAAACCATGAATCATTGTAAATTTACTGTTGTAAAGGTGCTTTGTTGACCCCATTTAATGATGCACTCCAGTAATGGAATAAATGCTTGTTTCACAGAAATTAAAGATTACACATGGCTGTTTGTTCCCATCTGCTATTACTAAAGGAAAAGATCTGGTAGCAGTTAGTGAAGAGTAGAACATGAGGTTCAGCTCCAAAACCTGAAAACCAACTGATTTGTTATTAACAGAATCTGTCTGTGCGATGGAGCTGCAGCCAGTTCAAGGTGCTTTCTGCCACTGCCACACTGAGGGCTCAAAATACACAGCAGTCACTCCACCACAAACGAGTATGGAGACTAGGAAAATATAGACAAAGGAAGAATATCTGTCTTGCAGTATATTTTCTGTTACATTTCTTACAAGATATTTACAGCGCTGAAACACAGGTAACAGGCTCATATCTAAAAACATAACATCATACTGTTTATGGCACCTGCTTCACGGTGGGAACCAGCAACTGTCTCTGTTGATGATTGCCTCGGTTTTTTATTTTGCTTTCTGTGGGATGTTTCTGAGCCTTCCCATTTTGAGCAGTGGGTGGGTGCATCTCTCAAAGATTCCCAGAAAGTGAACTTTGACAGAAAACTTTCACATTAAATACACCACTGCAGCTACAACTGACAGCAATATGAGTGACTTGTTTTTTTTTTCCAAAAATGGAACCTCTTTGAAACAAGCTGAATATTACATTTTATCATTTTTATTCCATTGGTTCTCTGTTACAAATGCATCTCAAAAGTTAGATTGCTGTTTCTAAAATGAAGGAAAGTCCCAAACATATTTGGATTTTTAATCAATGTGAACAATTTTGCGTTTTGAGATTATTTTTTACGTTGCTTCAAGTGCAGTTCTTTCATGGTGGAGTGAGAATCTAAACCAACATGCTTCAAATGCAACTTTTCCCCTTGAGCAACAGAAAGAATGACCAACTTGGGGCTGCTTGATTAGAAAATAAAATAAACCAAGTGTGCCTAGTGGACTTCAAACCTTGTTATCTTTCTGAGCTCCAGTAGAAAATATTTCACTGTAGGCTGAGACAGCAGAGTGGAAAGATTGTATTACAGAT